CACTTTGGATCTCTGTGTCAAAAATGTGCTATATAAATAAAGCTTTACTTACTTACTTACTTACTTACTTGAGCTCTCCGGAAAACCTGATTTGTCTCTAAAATATTGACAATATGTTTTTTTCTACACTTTTTTATTAAATTAGGCCGTTATTGACGTATATGTCCTTTGATGATTATTATATAACAGATGTGGTGACATAAAGCAAGTAGGCCTCTATGACTGCAGCTATGAATGTTTCTTTGCAGCTAATACTGCTTAACTAAAGTAGTATATAGGATCTATTTTTATTATTATTTTATTTGTCAAGGTGTTGGGATACTTCTTTATAATAGTTCTGTCTTTACTCCACAATGGCGTGAATAAAATAGAAATTGTGAAACCCATGGAGGGCAAGCATGGACAAATTACATTTTAAAACAACAATGCCTTTTCCCAAGAAACTATTACTATTTTTTTAATATATCTATATATTTTATATATATATTATATATATTATCCTGCGGGGGAATTTCCCCATTGTGGGACTATTGAAGGAATATCTTATCTTATCTTATCTTATATCTTATTTCGAGTGAAAAATGACTCACTGTCATTGGTCACGGGATAAATAAAATATGTATTGGGTTCCTAACTTTTAAATACAGTGCTGTGTTGCACCATCATGTAAACAGCGACGCCCAGTGGTTACAATACATTTATATAAAAATATATATCACTGCAGTACCACTTCTCCCCCATAAGGGGCGCCAAACAACCGGGAAAGCCCGTCGGGGGGAGGGGCGAGCTGCTGCTGCTGCAGGTCTGTTGCTCGGTTCACTGAGCTAACTAAAGCAAGAAGGTCCATCAAGAAGCTAGTTAGCAGCGAGCGACACGGTGGACGCTGCTGGGGATGCTGCTGCAGCAACAAGAGAACATGAACTAGCTGCCTGAGAGGTTTTTCCCGGTGCCTTGACAATCATTACCGAGCTGAGGACCGTTTCAGGTGGTTGTGGTTCGCTGCTTCATTCATGCGGTCGCTGGTGCACACAGACCGGGTTTATAGCTCTTGAGTGGCGGGCAAGCTCAGTCATCAGCTCGCTGGGACAACCGGGGACAACACGGCTCTCTCACCGGTACGATTTGTTTTGCTGATAGCAATGCTAAGCCGAGCTAACAATAAACCAGAGTGCTTAAAATGTACATGAGTGGATAGATGTACTACATATAGCCGCTGTGGGGTTCACAGTTTAGGGGTAAATGTGATGGTTTACAGCGTCCTCTTGCTAGCTTTATGCATCCGTGGCGTTAATTGTTGTTGCAGAGTTAGCAGCGTTACGACGAGGGGGGAAAAGTAATGAAAGCGACATGTAAATAGTGGTACTTGTTAGCAGAAAACAGCTAGTTAAAGCACAAGTGGCGTGTTCATAGTAGTGCTACCAAGACCAAAAGCTTAGCATGTGTTTAAAGTAACGGTAGCTATGCATTATTTCACACTAACATTATGTATTTTACTGTAAGTTGCTGTTGCCCATTCACTGGTGTGATCATCACAACTTGAGCTTGCATGTGGTTCTAGAAAGCTTGAGCTCATCTGGTTAATAAATATATATATATATATAGGCATGCTTTTATTTTGACATCTTGTAAATAATATTTATTCTTTCATTTGACTCTCAATAGAGTAGGAGCATGGTGGTCCCGGACAGTGCCAGCGTGGTCCCCCAGCCTGGCATCGGCCTCATGGAGAGCTCCGAGCCCGGGTGTGAGGAGGAGGAAGTGGTCGGGGGTCAGGACCTGGCAGGGGTGGAGCTGGAGGAGGTCCGAAAGCTGCAGGAGCTTGTTCATAGGTTGGAGGTCCAGAATGAGACCCTGCGCAACAGGGGGAGCAAGAAGACGATCATCCACAGAGGAGCCAGCAGCAACAGCAACCTCACGGCCGCCGTCAATATCAACGAGAGGCTGACTTGTGAAGGGGTGAGCAACTCCCACCTCAGATTGGAGCACGGCGGCAAGCTGGGCAGCACAGACTTTGAGTTGTCACCCCCTCAGGACAGCAGCAGTGGCGAAGAGATGTCCCCTCTGCCCGTGGCTAACAGGCTGGAGGAAGAGGACGGAGAAGAGGTGGAGGACGACGACGAGCAGGGTCCGTGTGGGGGCTTTCTCACCCTGGCCTACAGCAACGGAGGGGGGCAGTCCGGGGGGCAAAGCCAGACGCCAGAGAGCCCCTCTCAGGACAGTTATGACTCAGAGACACTCGCAGAGAGCGACTCAGGGTTGGACCAAACTGCACTGGATGAAGTGGATGTCCTAGATTTGGAGGATGAGTGTGCAGAAGTAGAGGACGAGGACAGTTGGTATGTTTTGTTATCTGCGATGCTTGTCTCTAGTCCCCGTGCTCCGATAGCCTCGCAGTTCCCCCCGTGTTTGGGTTATCCAACTTATAAATTTTTTGGTTCTGGATAAACATTTGCAAAGAAAGATCACAATATATCCATAATATGTAGCGGCGCATATGAGTCGCCTTCAGTGGAAGTTGATTTCTGGCGATAAAGGCTGCAGGGATGCCACATTTAAAGTTCACCTGTGTATAGGTAGAGGAGCACCTTCAGCCAGATGATTCACTTGGGCTCTTTCATTTGAACCTCTGATTTATAAGTGTGTTACTCCTCCTTTTCTCATCCACATCACTAACTCTCAATATGTACTGTAAATAGGAGGAAATATTAAGGTGTTGTTGGAAAAAAAGGGAGAGAAGAAAGACACTGGAGTGATGAGGAGGAAGAAAAAGAAAGGGCAGCCAGTCAGAGAGAGTCATTTCAGAAGCAGCTGACATTAAAAAAAAAAAGGGAGGAGGCTGTTTGTTGTCTCTTAAACTTGACTCTGAGCTCTCTGGTCTTGTTAAACAATAGGCCTGAACCTATCTGAACCTATCTAATACCTGTTTGGCAGGTTATAATGAGCACAAAGCTCTTTTTTATTATTACCCATCTGAACATAAAATGCACCAAAAGTGCGTAAACTATCAAACTGTTTCAGAAAATGATTCTAAGAACGATTGTTGTTATTGTTGACTGGACCCGGCATAGATCTGCATTCCCTAAGCCTTCTTACACAATGTCCTAAAGATCAACAAAGCTATATCTGCATTAGTTCATTCCTGAATGCAGGTCAGGTTGAGGCTTACAAACACCAGTTTGAGATGAATTAAGTTTGTTAATTTCCTCCAATTTAATTGATAGAATATATGTACGCAAAAAGAGCGGTAACAGAGGGATAATTACTCATAATCCATGTTCATCATTCCCAGTTAGATGTGTTTACGCTGTGCAGTGCATTGCCTGAAACAGGTACCATATTGTGTTCCTGATGGCTACTTTAGCAGCTGAGCCACGGAGCTTAACAGCCAGACCATTCATGACTTATTTTCAGTTTCGCATCATTAGCCATACCATATGTGCTTTGTGAGGTTATCATAGCCAAAACATCCAGTAATCCTAACAGCGACATAATCTGATCTGCTCTGGACTGGGTGCTGCCACATGGCTAAACTGCTTTGGGTGGGATTGCACAGCATGTGACCCAGCGGGGGCCCCCCCTGTGTGACCAGACTGCAGCAAGGACACACTAGAACTGAGAGCTTCTGCAGGATCTCTTCTTCGGGGGTTTGAAATCTTAGAATTAAATCTCTTAAAGAGTAAATATAGTTTTCCAGCAGCACACAAGTCGTGTTTTTTACAAAGCGTAGTATCCACTCTCTCTGAAGTTTAGTTCCCAGACTTTTAGCTCTCCTCTTAAGCTTAAGAAACATAGTGTTTCCTGTCTGTTAATATATTCCCCCACACAGGCCTAAACTCCAAACCTCCTAATTGAGCAGTTGAGCAGAATAAACCAGAATTTTCAGTTGATTTCATCGCGTTAAAAGTTGTCCAACCTGCCTCTGTGTACGACACAGTTCAGTTTTATAATGCAAAGAAGAATACTTTTTTTTTTTTTTTACAGTAACTACAGGATTAGCTCTCCTTATCTCAGATATACTTGAACATTATTATTATTGCCCGTCTTCATTGTTGACTCTTCAGAGCAAACATTGTAGAGACTACTGTCAACAAAGGTCTGGTCTATATTTTTTAGTTCAGCAGTCATGTTAATAGAACTACAGTTGCAGACCTGTGGCTTGCATGAATGGCAACACCCAGGCTTTAACCTGTGACCAAAACTCGAGTGTGAATGGATCAAATGCGCATCATTAGTCCACATCAAACGCAAGGTTTTGTGTTTAAGAAGAGCAGCTCTGCTCCCCCACACAGAGAAGCTGTCCTCTGTGGTGGGATATGTGACCTGAATATTGCTCTCTGCATTGTTGCTCATTCCAGTGGGAAATGGCTCCTTTTGTGTTTGCCCAATGGGAAGATGATTTGTTGTTGATTGGTCCAGAACCAGTCCGTCCGGGCCTTTTGTGTACCAGACTCAAAGGACCAGACCATGTGACTGCCAGTTCAAAGCTTGTGGTTGAACTAATGGCTGTTTGCTCTCACTGGGGCAACACCGGACACATCTCAGAGGAGGCATCGGAAACTCCAAGTCAAGTGTTGATTTCAGACATTGCCAGGCTCCATTAAAAACCACCTTGGCTGGTCGTTCTTAGATTTGAATTAGAAGTTTCCTTCGAGTTTTTTGGCAGTGGACATTAATGTGCAGCTGATTCCAACACTAAATTTCTTTCTGTTTTGGCTGTTTAGACTTGGTCAGAAGTGGAGTTGAGTGTCATTACGCAGGCTAGGATGTGCTTGATATGCTAGGCAAATGTGGCTGAGCCAAATGCGTATTCATCTCAGAGGGGATGTCAGAGAACCAGGTTGAGGCTGTGATACGGATGTTCAAAGATGCATTACTTAAAGTATTTGCTGACTCACTGTTTGGTCTGATTTATTTTAAACAAAACAGCCTTGTTGTCTGTTTGATGTGAGATCTTTGCTTCCTCAGCGTCCTGTTGCTGGAGAACCATTCAGTGGTTGGGTGTTACTTCTGCCTGTGCTCAGCCATGCCCGTGTGGTACAGTGTGAAAAATATTCTAATTGTACACGGCATGCTCCATATTATTAAGTGCATACCTCACAGGCCAGTAGTGCACACTAATCTGCAGCTATTTTTTATTCAAATCTTCTGCTCTGCAGTTACTGGCACTTCTGACAAGGATGTTTAATAAAAAGTAGATTAGGCTTAGTTTTTCAGCCCTGAACTGCCTTTTCCCTACCTCAGTTTTTCCATCACTGTGTTACTCTACCAATCCCATTTACTCTTTGTGATTGCTCTCAGTTCCCCTGGTAACCACTTGTTTCTCCACAGGTTGTATGTCTCTCCAAAAAAGCAAGTAGCAGAGCCAGGCCCCGAGTCTCCATTGAAGTGGTGTCGGCAGGTTCTTGACCACCGCAGCCCAGAGACAGAAATTGCTTGTCGGACCCTGATCAGCCGTTTAGACCAGAGTAAGCATCAAACATACATCTTTGAATTAAATTCCTTGAATGCCTGAACCAAAGTATGCTTTAATCTGTGCGTGTTTTCATTCCCTATGTAAACCCTAAGATTAACAATCTTAGAGTCCATCACACATGTTGAGCAGCAACTTGCTTTCATTATAAATGAGAAAAAATGTTTGTATCTTAAGGTCTTTGAGTCACATGTCGCTGCCTTAGAGGTGGTTGGCCTAAATCAAGCACCCAGTTCAGCTGAGGGAGACAGTCTCACCTCCTTCTGTGAATGTGTCTTATTTACTGCTCACCTCCACTGTGTCTGTTTAAAGTCGTGTGACAAAGCCTGAGTGATGTGTCCATGCTCTGTATGTTTCTACGTGTGGATAGAAGGTTGTGTCTGATCCAACAGACCCCATGTATTATTTATCTTGCTTGCAGCTCCTACTTCCCGCACACTGCAGAACCTGAACAACAAAGCTATTCACACCAGGGCTGAATGACTCTACGAAGTCAAGGGCTGGGTTGGATTACCTTCCCCCCTCCCCGCCCGCGTCAGCTCTCCTTTTTAAACGGCAGCACCAGGCCGTGAAACTGCCTTGTGGCATAGATTATGATGGAGCGAAACTGCAGAAACTATAGGGATAGTAGTTAAAACATGGCGTCTAAACGAACCCCATTTTCGGTTTACTACAGTATGAATGCAAATGTTGCGACAGTTTTGCTCTCAAAGCTCTTGTGTAAAGTTACACCCGCTATTACACAGAACATCCAACTGTCCACGTATTGTGTAAAACCTAAGTCTCCTTTACAACTTTTTAAAAGTAATTCAATGGCCCGTTTTATTCCTGAAATGCATTAGGAAGATATGATGTAAGCATTGCAATGTGAAATACAGTACAATTCTGACTTAAACGTTATATGAACACTTATTTAGCAGCAAATAACTATTTGATATATAAATATATAGTTGATCAATGGCGTCTTGAGCAGAGAATGACGTCACACTCCTCCTGCCTTTGTTGTCATCGCAGCCTCTCTGTGCTCTGTTTACATAACCCGTCTGTTCTGTGTGCAGCTCAATAATGGGACCGAAACCACTGTTTTTCTCACCTACGTCTGTGAATTAAGAGTTTATTTACACCAAAGCAGAATTTGTGATTGTTGGAACAATGGAATAAGTTTAATTTGGTTTCTGTTCACTTCGAATGAAGT